TCATAGGAAAGTTGTGATCTTATAAACAGAGGTCCATGCTTTATAGTTATTTCAGACTCACGCCATATAATGAAAAATGCATTTTCCTTGAGCTTTTGAGATAAAATAGTTTTATTAGCTGTTAACATTTTTTTAGAATTACACACTGCTTGAAGGAACTTCACTGATGTAACACATCAGTTAAATTTTTATAATGAGTAACATAATATTGTAACATATTTGAACATTTTAAAAGTAACATTTCCCAACACTCTCAGTCAGAAAATGGCAGAATAACTGATGGTTTTGGAAATGTTGAGACATTACACCAATTTCCAGGTTGTGTTTTATGTATTCTTCACTCCTAGGCCAGGGATTGCAAGACCCAAAACAAAGCAAACAATAAAATATGAATTTGAAATGAAATCATTCAAAAGGAAATAAATAAAATGCTAGCTGACGAAGTGTGAAGAATAAAAATGAGCTTCATACAGGTCTCTGCAGTCTTGATATCTTGTGTGGCACAGAGAAACAAATCTGACAAAAGCTTATGATTCATATTAAGAATTTATTCCATCTATCAATAAGAGAAGGAGCCACATATATAAGACAGAAAAGCAAGAAAGACAGAAAAAAACAATAATTTATAAATGACATATCTGAATAAATCATTTGTGAAATACAGAGGGAAGCTTTTGCCTATACCAAGTAAGCTGCATGCATTGGAAATGAGCTGCACACTTGAAAACATTTTTTCTAAGAAGGAATTCTAACTATATCAATCACATCCGCTGCAAGGTGAACCAGAGGCCAGGTCACAGTAACACATGCAGAAGCACTGATAGAAAATCAGAGGAACTAGATCATTTTCCATTCTTCCAGGGTTATAGTATGCTCAAGAGGAAGAGCGCTTCCCTCCACTTCTAAGATAGTGGCAGTAAACAACAAACTCAAAGTCAGGTGTAGAGAAGTGGGAATGCTTCAGATCCATTTGGTAGGACCCATGTGCAGAAGCTGGTGGGAATGAAAATTCAAGCTCTCGAGAGGAACGCCTGACAAAAGAAGAAACAGAGACAAAATGAGACCTGTAATGGATGGATTACAGAACCAGGCATAAACAGGACAGGGGAAAAGACAAAAGCTCAAATGTAATAAGGAAAGATGGAGTGACATCAAAGTACATCATTACAAAGAGTTTCAACACAAACAAACACATATCAGTGACAAATGGGAGGCACAAGATCATATTTTAAATGCTTGAAAAGAGAAGTATGCTCTGCATCACCAGAGCACACATTCTTCCTAAAACCTGCCAAGACAATGTCCAAGTCATATTTTACCTGCAAATCAACAGAAATGAAAATGAAATTATTTTACATAAGCAACATGTTTTAGGACAGTTTTGCATTGCATTATGTTCATGACAATTAATGACATTCCTCTCATATTCTCATAACCATTATCAACAAAATACTCTAAATTACTCTAGGAAAACCAATTACGAAGACCTGGGGTCTCATTTATAAAACAATCCATAGATTTCATCCTAAAGATAGATAGTACGCCAGAACCTGCGCAAAAATCCCTTTATTTTTATTATAATTTTTTTTATTATTAGACATTAAAAACATAACATGCAACATTTACAACTTTAACAAGACCTCCAAAAAGATAACACAAAGGAATGGGTTTACATTACATAGAAATAAATCAAATAAAATCAATAATAATACTTAAAGAAAAAAAAAAGACAGCATATACCCGTTCAATTTTCAAGTAACTTCAACTCTTTAGCGAATAAAATTGTATCTCTACATTGTTTGTTATCAATACATTGGAGAGACTCAAAATACAAATGAAAATCAGTCATAAAGACCTTCAAATAGGGTTGCAAAAATCCCTTTATAAATCCCAGTTAGGGGAAGATTGTGCGTACGTGCATCTCCACCCCGTCTCCTCCCCGAAATCACCATATATGGAGCTTACAACGCCTTGTTTTACTATGCACAACCTCATCTGCATATCATTTCCATGCATATTCCCATCCACGTGACACCATGTTTAACACCGTCAAAGATAAAAGACATTAAGGAAATATGAGATACGGACTATAAATGCCATTTGTGCCACACATTACATTTTATTTCATGCCAGTTTAAAATGGTTATCAGATAAATATTTTAGAATAGAGTTGATCTCATTCTTTTACACTGGCCAAATAGTAGCCTATTTCAATTGTTTTAAACAATTCAAATCAAACTAAATGTATGCAGTTTTGCTGATAAGGTGAATATCTTTTAGCTATTTTGAGTGGAAACAGATAGGCCTATTTATTGCAGTGTAAAATTGTCTGACTCGGTGCGTCACTATCAAAGTATTTTAAAAAGAAAACGTATAAATCTGACCATTTTCTTCAAGTTGTAGCTTTCAAATACAGTGGTACTTTTCATAATGTTGTAGAGATGACTTCACACGACACCAACACCTCTGTGCAGCTGCGCTTGTACAGTGAGATATTATCATGGGACCTATTAAAACTGGATAATGGACCGTTCGACCACTGAATCCAGCAGTGTCCGCCATAATATCGAAGTAAGTGTGCATCATTGATCATGTCACGAATCCGATCCATAAATTTCCATCCACTTGCCACCAGAGGTCGCCCTTCCATGATATTGACTCTCGCACCACACAGACTGTTACACATCATCCTGGACTACATTTCCCATGTTCCATTGCACTGATTACACTCACACCTGAAACCAATTACACGCTCACCTGAATGTTATTACACACACTATATAACACCTGCCCTGATCCTGCTCTAGTCGCCGAGTATTGTTCTGTATTTTTTTTCACTCCCCAAGTGTTAGCTGCCTTACTGAGCCATTCCGTGTTTTCTGTTTTAGTCTCATGTATTGTTTTGCATTTATCCCTGTTTAGCGGATAGCTACTTTACCGAGCCTGTTTAAGTTTTCATAGTTTTCTTAGTCTAGTCTTAGTCTTGCCTTGTCTGTTTTCCTGGTCTCTGATTCACGCCACGTATCTTGGATTGACCCTTTGCTTGCTGTTTCTGACTCTGTTTGCCCCTGCCTGGACCTTTGCCTTCTACCTGGATTTATCTCTTGGCTTGCCTTCGATATACCTGTTTGCCATTGGCTGACCCATGCCTGTTAAAACCACGTCTCTTAATAAAAGCTTGCATATGGATCTGCATGTCTCTCGTCTCATAACAGATCACTGTTCTCCCTAAAAAAATATTTTCTCATAACATGAGATCTGCAGTTCAGTTTAAAGATGAATTATTGTGCACCTGGATATAGCACTCCTCGCTGTCAATAAAATAGGAAAAATAATCAAGCGCATCCACTACAAATAATTCATATAATTTTGGTTTAAGTTCTGCGTAATGTCTAATGACTAATGACTAATTTCAGTCCTTATCTCCATATGGGAGTGGAATATTTAATGTAAATGTATATATCGACATGAAAACAGAGCTTAAAATCATTGTTTTTACTTCATTAATTTTCTCACTCCAGGAAAAAGAGTTCGTACGCATGGGTCAGAGTTTGCGTGCAGGTGCGTACATTTTCCCGTCCCGGTACGCTATCTAGACCTGTGCGTAAAGAAAACGCGGGAGATGTTGAGCAGGTGAGATGGATTTTCACGCCAAATTAATAGGTAAGTGCTTTGTTTTGTTTTCACATTTATCTAATGCTTACAGTGGGTTTGTCGAAGTGTATACTTGGCTAGCCTGAACATTCAGTGTCTTGTCTTGTTTTTGTTGATGGTTTTCTTGTATGTTTACGTTGGTGAGCGTCTTTGAAATGTAGCTAATTAGTTTCTCTGGCAACTGTAGGCTACTGTAACCAAACTGTACCGTACAGTTAATGGAACTGTCACGTGTTCTGTCAGTGCTTCCTTGAAGTTTTTTGGTAATGTACATGATTTTTTTATTTTTTTTATTTTGCCTTACATATTTCTGATTATCTATTTTGTGTGAAATGTGATACGAACATATATTGCGGTCTATTTGTTCTTTATAATTTACCTTTCAAAAGCTTGGTGTCACTGGGTCAGTAAGATTTTTTTTTTTTTTTTTTAAGAAAGAAATTAATGTGTACAACAGCATATATTAGGCCTACTTTTTGAATTTATATGCTGATATCTGATCTGTCTGAACTTTTTCTGGTACTAATTGAATGTGTGTATATATACAGTATACATACATACATACATATACACAGTAGCATGTGCCACTATATATCACTCACTGTCACTATATACAGTATATATATACACACACACAGTACATACATACATACATACAGTGTGTGTACATACATACATACATACATACATACCTACCTATATATATGGGACACATGCAACTGGAAAACTTGTACAAAACTTGTAATTTGTGAGGAGAACCATATTTAAATACATTTGTCAGATTTTTGGAAATCAATGCAGAAAATGGGGGGAAAAGTGTCTGCAGATTCCATCTGGACCTGAAGGCCTACTTGGTATGTGGCCCCAAAAAAATCTAATTAAATAAACTTGCATTCAATGAAAGTGTACATTTATTAGCATAATCAGCACAGAGTTGACTATCAATGACAACACAGAGCCTTCTGGATACTGCTTACTATTATGTACTGTAGTTTTCTGGCTGTGCATGATGGATCCACTAAAAGAAGTGGCTAAAATAGCTCATAGCATCTTTAAAAATGTGATAAAGGAGCTGGCTTAAACCGTAAAGATGACTTCACTGTTGAATCTTATACTTGGATCTCAATCAAAATTCTTAGTAATACACTGTACATTGGAATATAGAAAATTGTGGGATGAACTGGGACGGGATTATTCAATGGCATATGTTCATCAAAGAACTAATAGGCCTCAGAGGGAATAATTAGAGAATGTACACGCAAATGCTGTACATATGCATAAGAGCAGAGTTTAAAGGAAATAGCTGATTGCAGAATACAAGTGTACCACATGTCATTTTTCATTAGGATTCTTGAAGCAGCACTGTAAAGACACTTCTAACGTCTTGAGCATGCTTGTGTATTCCTCTTATACGGAGGCTCATGTTGCCTTTAAATTGTAAGATAAAACTGAATATAAAGCCCTTCATGGATCATTTTACCATCTTGTGGATACTCTGTGTCTGCAGTCTCCGATGCTTGACATCAGGATTGTTCTGCCATAGTACTCCTGTCAACAAGAACCTGAGCTTGTCTGCAAATTTTGAGAGTCTGATGCTCAGGACTCAACAGGCTCACTGTACGGGTCTGTAAATGGTTATTTGCTCTAGTCTGCCGTTGAGCTAACATGTGTGAAGAAAGACCGTCTAGGGGTTAACAGCTGATCCCTTATGAGCTTTGCAGTAGGATACGGCTCTTTTATTCCCTGTGTACTACTGCGTGAGGAGCGTGTTGATATCTGAGACTCGCAGTTCCTCAGTCCTGTGATGGTGGAAAAACAAATCATATTTTATCTGTGTGTACTGCTTTTAGGATGCTGATAAATCGTGTTGTTTTATTTTTCCCCGTTGTAATTCTCTGCTGGTTTGCTCTGTCAAAGGTGATATTTTGCCTTGTAATGTCTTGCACACAAAAGTGAAATGTTTCAAATTTTTTGGCTCTGAATGGGGAGTTTACACTGTTTTTTTTTTTT